AGTAGAGACGGGGTTTCACCGTGTTGACCAGGATGGTCTCGATCTCTTGACCTCGTGATCCACCCGCCTCGGCCTCCCAAAGTGCTGGGATTACAGGCTTGAGCCACCGCGCCCGGCCGCTGAGAATAATTTTTTAAGAAGCTGTTTGTTTCCTTTTGCTGCACATAGGTGACTAATTGTGATGGTAATGCTTTTTCATTAAAACCAGTGGGAAATAACGTTAATAAATTTATCTCTTTTTTTCCTTTGAAAATATTTGAAGGCCTTATGAACAAATTTGGCTTGCTGTATTTCAAAGGATTTTTTGGGAAGATCTTAACCTTTTATTTGCAAGAATGTCATTACAAATAATACATTTTCAGTGAGTTTCGAGCAATTGATAAGCTATACTTTACCATTATTAAAATGACTCACACTTCTTGGGCTTATAGTTCAAATAATAGAATTTATTAATTAAAAGAGATGTTTGTCTTAATGTTCTAACTATAAACATGTCCAAATCTGACAGTTCAGCCAGAACATGCCTCTGTGTTTTTCACAATTGTTTTTATTTCTTCTAATATAATCAACTGTGTTAAGGATAATTGATATAACTTTGATTAAAATGTACAATTACCACAAAGTTGAAAAATGCCTAACAATTATGCCTAATTCAAAAAGCACATTGAAAGCTTCCAGCTCATAGCCAAACCTTGGTGGAAAGTCTTGCTGCCTTTGCCAACACTAGATAAAGGTTCTTCTAAAACTCACTTTATAATTAGCTATAAATTACATTGACGTAAAATAAAACTATAAAACATGAACTCTCCTGATGCAATTATGATCAATTCCAGAAAATCAACTGAGACACCAGTGAGCAGAAGAGTGACTGGCTGGCAGTTCCCAGTCAATGCATATATTCATTACCTCCCATCCTCCAGCTGTCACTCAACTCAGTTGTCTGCAGGATTTGTGGCAATGTGGACAGCTCCTGCTAGGAATATATGTGTTGCATTCTGATATGGCAGGTTCCATATTAATTTGTTTCTTAAAATAATATATTTTGTGGAACAGACTCATTAATTTCACAACCCACTCATGGGGAGAAGCCTGAAATTTGAAGACCACCAGACCAGAGGAAAATTTGTGATTAAACAGCCTAGTGGTGGGGAGTATATTTATACAGTGAAAGAAAAAAAGACATAAAAGCATGGTTGAAAAAAGACAGGAGGATGCCAGCCTAAGGGGGGAAACAAGTACCCTAGGAAGATGGGAAAGATGGTACCTACCGTACGGACAGAGTCATTGCCCAGTTAGGGGATGAAGGCCAATTTACAGATATGGGCAGGGGGTAAAGATAGAAAGCTGGGCTTTCATGTTGTTTAGTTGTTGATGTACAGACAGGAATTTGTGGGAGCTACACCTGGTGACTTCCGTTTTTCTCATGAAACAAGAGGACATATGTTGAAAGTAAGCGGAGAAATGAATAGAGGACCCAAAGTTCGGAAATAGGAAAGAGGGGACTAAGGATGTTTAGAAAGCTTCTGTGAAGTATGGAGGACACAAGTAGTTCCCTATTTATGAATGCTTCGAAGGCAGTCCCAATCCTGCAAAATTTTCATATCTGACGGTATCTGCTGAATTTGCCATTGCTTCAGGTCTTGACCACCTAGGTTCATGATACTAAATCTATACTTACAGCTCCAATCTCTGTTATGCTTGTTTTATCTGATGTTCAAATCAATCTTTTCACTTACTCCAATGCTTGACTCACAGAATACAGTAGTAAAGAAATTTATTTGCAATATAAAAAATTATACCCAAATATGCAGCAGTATAATCAGAAAGTAAAATAAGCATATTTTTGGGTTAAATTCAATTTTGAATTAAATTTAGGTGAGTAATAAAGTATGTAATTTGAATATGGTTTATAAAATTATAATTTTCAGCATTTAAAAAATTATATTTAATACTTTTAAGAAATATAAAATATTGTGTGTCTTTTTTCAAGGAAAAATTTTAAATATTCACAGAACAGGTAATATTAAAAAATTATTCACATTAAAAGATAATCTCTTTACTTACAAAATAATTTTATATTTTTGCAATAATTAATATGCCCTTAAATATGAGATAATTGGACTTTTGCTTCTGGCTGTGATACAGCAGCTTATATCGGAACCACTTACTGTTGAAAGCAGTTATAAATCTGGATTAAAACAATTAAGAGGAGCTGTTTGAAGGCATCTAAACAACCAAGGCAGCCAGGACTTGAAGGAACAAGATATTAGAGGGAGGGAGAATGTACAGAAGTGAGCCTGATGTTATTTGCTACTTTCTTCCTTTGGAGCATTTGCTAGTTTACCTCATAGTGCATAGAAGTCAAGCTGAAAATGGTGACCTAGAGATATCTGGGAAGACAAAAATTGGAGTAAGACAATTAGAATTGAGGAAACAAGGTAATGGGGAAAAGGAAAACACAACAGTGTCACGGCTATATAAAATTATACATAACATTATAAACAATAACTAACCTCAAAATACCTGCCACCGGCTTGTTAATAAAATGTATATGTTTTTGGAGAAACTCCATGTCTACTAAAAATACAAAAATTGGTCAGGCATGGTGGCGCATGCCTGTGATCTCAGTTACTTGGGAGGCCGAGGCAGGAGAATCACTTGAACCCAGGAGGAGGAGGTTGAGGTGAGTCAAGATCCTCATGCCATTGCACTCCAGCCTGGGCAACAAGAGTGAGATTCTGTTTCAACAATAATAATGATAATAATAATTAAATGTTTTGATAACCATATCTGTGTATGTAGACATATATGAATTTGTACATATTGATAACTTTTATATAAATGAGGTAAATGCTCTTATACATTCTGCTTCCTTTTACTCTTTAGTTTGTCACAAACAATTTTTCCTTTTTAACGGCTGCTTATTCTGTTGTATGACTCTAGCAAACTATTTAATCCATCTATATTGTTGGATTCCAGTTTTTACTATTATAAACAAGACTTCAGTGAACATTGCTGTGGTTATTGTATTACTTACCTATTAGAATATATTCCTAGAATAAACTCCTAGAAGCGGGGAGTGCTGAGTCAAAAAGGATACACACTATGAGACCAGTATTACCAAAACCAGACAAGGACACAACAAAAAAGAAAACTACAGGTCAGTATCCTTGATAAACACAAATGCAAAACCCCTCAATGTAATACTAGCAAACCAAATCTAACAACACATCAAAAAGAGTATATATCATGATCAAGTGGGATTTATCCCAGGGATACAAGGATGGCTCAACATATGCAAATCATTGTGTGATACATCACATTAACAGAAAGAACAAAACCCATATGATTACTTCAATAGCTGCACAAAAATATTTGATAAAATTTAACATTCCTGGCTTTGCAGACACCGCCGCCGCCTGGAGCCTTGTAGAATCAGCCATGGTCAACCCCACCGTGTTCTTCGACATTGCCATTGATGGCGAGCCCTTGGGCTGCGTCTCCTTTGAGCTGTTTGCAGACAAGTTTCCAAAGACAGCAGAAAACTTTCATGCTCTGAGCACTGGAGAGAAAGGATTTGGTTATAAGAGTTCCTGCTTTCACAGAATTATTCCAGGGTTTATGTGTCAGGGTGGTGACTTCCCATGCCATAATGGCACTGGTGGCAAGTCCATCTACGGGGAGAAATTTGATGATGAGAACTTCATCCTAAAGCATACAGGTCCTGGCATCTTGTCCATGGCAAATGCTGGACCCAACACAAACGGTTCCCGGTTTTTCATCTGCACTGTCAAGGCTGAGTGGTTGGATGGCAAGCATGTGGTCTTTGGCAAGGTGAAAAAAGGCATGAATATTGTGGAGGCCATGGAGCGCTTTGGGTCCAGGAATGGCAAGACCAGCAAGAAGATCACCATTGCTGACTATGGACAACTTTAATAAGTTTGACTTGTGTTTTATCTTAACCACCAGACATTCCTTCTGTAGCTCAGGAGAGCACCCTTCCACCCCATTTGCTCACAGTATCCTAAAATCTGTGCTCTTGCTGCAGTTCCCTTTGGGTTCCATGTTTTCCTTGTTCCCTTCCATGCCTAGCTGGATTGCAGAGTTGAGTTAAGTTTATGATTATGAAATAAAGACTAAAAAACAAACAAAAATTCAACATTCCTTCATGATAAAAACTCTCAACAAATTAGGTATAGAAGAAACATACCTCAATACAATAAGGGCCATAAATAACAAACCCACAGCTAACATGACATTGAATGGGGAAAAACTTGAAAGCTTTTCCTCTAAGAACTGGAACTAGACAAGGATGCTCACTTTCACCACTTTTATTCAACACAGTACTAGAAATTCTAGCTAGAGCAATTAAACAAGAGAAAGAAATAAATGGCATCCAAATTGAAAAAGAAGTCAGATTATCCCTGTTTGCAGATAACATGATTTTTTATATAAAAATACCTAAAGGCTTCATAAGAAAACTTCAGAACTGTTAAATGAATTCAGCAAATTTGCAGGATTTGCTGCACAGTGCTATTAGTGTAGCACTTCTGTACACTAATAATAAAGTAGCTGAAAAAGAAATCAAGAAAGCAATTCCCTTTACAATAGCTGCCAAAAATATTAAGATACCTAGGAATAAATTTAACCAAGGAGGCAAAAGATCTTTACAATAAAATCTATAAAATGCTGATTAAAGAAATTGATGAAGACACAAATAAATGGAAAGACATCCTCTGTTCATAGATTGAAAGAATGAATATTGTCAAAGTGACCATATTACCCAGAACAATCTACAGATCTAATGCAATCTCTATCAAAATACAAATTACATTCTTTGAAGAAATAGAAAAAAATTCTGAAATTTGTGTGGAACCAGAAAACACTCATGATAGCCAAAACAATACTGACCAAAAAGAACTAATCTGGAGGCATCAAGCTACCTGATTCAAAACATATTACAAAGCTATAGTAACCCAAACAGCATTGCACTGATATAAAATCACTCACATAGAACAATGGAACAAAATTGAGAACATAGAAATAAATCCAGATATTTACAGCCAACTGATTTTTGACAAAGGTGCCAAGAACACACACACTGGGGAAAGCACATCCTCTTTAATGAATGGTGTTAGGAAAACAGAATATCCATATGAAGAAGAATGAAACTAGATCCCTATTTCTCACCATATACATAAATCAACTCGAAATAGATTAAAGACTTAAACGTAAAACTCAAAACTGTAAAACTACTAGAAGATAACACAGAGGAAACACTTGATTTGGGCAAAGCTTTTATGGATAAGATTTCAAAAGCATAGTCAACAAATGCAAAAATATACAAACAGGATTATATCAAACTAAAAAACTTCTGCATAGCAAAGGAAACAACTAACAGTGTGAAGAGATAACCTGAAGAATGGGAGAAGATATTTGCAAACTATTCACCTGACAAGGGACATTCAGAATATACAAGAAACTCAATAGCAGTAAAAGAGCTGATTTAAAAAACGGGCAAGCAATCTGAATAGACATTTTTCAAAAGAAGGCACACAAATAGCCACCAAGTATGTAAAAAAAAATCTCAATATTAGTGAGCATTAGGGAAATGCATATCAAACCACAATACGCTATCATATCACCCTAATTAGAATAGCTGTTATCAAAAAGACACAAGATGCTTGTGAGAACTCAGAGAAATGGAAACACGTATACTGTTGATGGTACTGTAAATTAGTACAGCCATTATGGAAAACAGTGTAGAGTTTCCTCAAAAAACTAAAAGTAGAACTATACTATATGATCCAGCATTCACACTACTGGGTATTTATTCAAAGGAAAAGATTATTGCAGCACTATTGTAGCTAAGATATGGAATCAATGTGTTTATCAACTAAAAATAAAAATAAAAATAAAGAAAATGTGATGTGTATACAACAAAATACCATTCACCCATAAACAAGAATGAAATCCTATCATTTTTAGCAACCGAGTGAGACTAGAGGACATAACGTTAAGTGAAATAAGTTAGGCACAGAAAGATAAACACAGCATGCTCTCACACATATGTGGGAGCTAAAAATGTTGAGCTCATAGGAGTAGAGAGTAGAATTGTGATTACTAGAGGGTAGGGGCAGGGGGAGAGAGAAAGTCTGGTTAAGGGTTACAAAATTACAGCTAGCTAGAAGGAATAAGTTCGAGGGCTCTATAGCACTGTGGGGTGACTGACTATAGTTAGCAATAATTTATTTCATATTTTCACATAGCAGGAAGAGAGGATTTTGAATGTTTCCAACACAAAGAAATGATAAATGTTTGAGGTGTTGGATATGTGAGTTACCATGATTTGATCATTACACATTGCATATGTGTATCAAAAATCACTCTGTACCCCATAAATATGTATAATTATTACATGTCAGTTAGAAAATTGTAAGAGAATTCAAAGTGATAAAACAGCTTGCACTATAGTTTGGCATTTTTTTCTTTCACAGTAGTACACAGAATAATGATACATATGATCAATGCTATGTTAGGTTTGGTGAAGTATCAATTATTAATAATTGAATATAGAAAGACTGTGATCTGGGCTGGGCGTGGTGGCTCATGCTTGTAATCCCAGCACTTTGGGAGGCCGAGGTAGGTGGATCACAAGGTCAGGAGTTCCAAACCAGCCTGGCCAACATGATGAAACCCCATCTCTACTAAAAATACAAAAAATTAGCTGGGTGTAGGTGCAGGTGCCTATAATCTCAGCTACTCAGGAGGCTGCGGCAGGAGAATTACTTGAACCTGGGAGCAGGAAGTTGCAGTGAGCCAAGTTTGTGCAACTGCACTCCAGCCCGGTGACAGTGTGAGACTCTGTCTCAAAAAAA